CTAGGGCTTGCCAATCAGAAGGTTGGCGGTTCGAATCCCCGCAACAGGGTGAGCTCCCATTGTTTGGTCCCTTGCTCCTGCAACCTAGCAGTTCAAAAGCACGTCAAAGTGCAGGTAGATAAATAGGTACCGTTCCGGTGGAAAGGTAAACAGTGTTTCCGTGAGCTGCTCTGGTTCACCAGAAGCGGCTTAGTCATGCTGGCCACATGACCCGGCCGCAATCCCAGAGTCGTCTGCGACTGGACCTAATGGTCAGGGGTCCCTTTATCTTTACCTTTTAGTACAGGATATGCATTGCATGTTAATCAGCATTAGCTTTAGCCAGTGTTTCAAAGCAGCTTTGAATGCTGGTTAAAAGCTGGATCACAATTTTATTATTCATTAAGACATTTTTACCTATGGTTAACACAAAAGAAACAATCACGATTCATGTCAACAAGGGAAGAAGGCAGAGAGCGCAGGAGCCTGCTTCACATCTCTTCCACCAGGCTCTTGTGTTAATAGCATGCAAGTAATAAGTTAGCTATGCCTTCCAGATTATGCATTTTCTTTATGGCCCACATCTACACTCTTGTGTCAGAGTACAGTATCCCTTTAAATTTTCTGCCTCTTTACTGCAGCCAAATCCTCAAGCATCAGAGATTTGCTGCACTCAGTTTTTTTCTGTCTCACAGCAAAACAGGAAAAAGATAAGAACAACCAGAGAGAACACTCAGTTACCAGTTTGTTAACCCAAAAGCTTAGCAGGAGACACTAAAATGAATAAGGTGTGGACAGAGTGAGCAACAACATTCCAAAGAACAGCATTTTAAACAGAAGCAGGGGAGCAAATATACCCAGAAGAAATTAATGTGAGAAGGAAGAAAGATGGAAAGTATACCCCACAACCCAGCAGTCTACCCACAACTGGCTGGTCTATGTTGTCCACACTGTGTACACTTGCCATAAAAAACACCAGTTTGTACACACACAAAATGCATTTGTTACATCAAAATGCTGTCCTGACCTGCAGCTTAAGAAACCGTAGAGCCACAAGCACATTCCGGACATTTCCCCATTGTTGTCCAAACCTTGATTGACTAGAAATATCATATTCTCCCTAACTGACCAGAGTACAGCCAAAGAGCAGCTCAATTGGCTAAAGTGCCCAAGAATATTAAAAGCAGGCAGGGTGCTACACAGTTACTCATAAAGACTTTCTTCTGTCTTTTAGCCAATAATTTAAAAAGATGTTGTCTATTTCTGTCCATTGCCAGAGTTTCTATACTTCCCTTGCCAGTAAAAGCAATTTGGCTCCATTTGACCACAGCAGTGTTATTCTCCTGCACAGGTGGGCATGGATTTTTACAACCTGAAAACAAGTCAATGGGCAAGGACATTACTTTTGACAATATTGAAATAAGCATTATTATATTACTGTTTAGTAAATTAAAGTTTCAATCTTAGGCTTGTACTGCTGTTAAATACTGCCTCAGGCTTCTCCCTATCTACCCTCATGGTGCCATATCATAAAACATGCGGCTACAGGCCTGCTAAATGATGTAATGGCAACATTTAATACACAGGGTAATACAGGGGGGATATTTCCTGGCACAATAAGCACATACATATGCCAAGTTTTAATCCTTAGATTTCAGAGGATCTCTGCAGGTAAATCTCTGCACAACTGATGGAAGTTCTTCAAAGTTTTATGAGATCATTCTTGCATTAAAACACCAGTGTTGCAAAAGACTTTTTTTTCAATAATAGGGTAGGATGCACTGAAGAAAACAATGAACAGTCTCTTGCTTGTTCAGTGAAATGCCAATGGAAGACAAACGTCAGAGTGAAGGAAGCCAAAATGGTGCCCTCCAAGTGTTGCTGGATTACCATTTCCATCATCCCTGGTCAATGGTCAAGCTGGCTGGGATGATGGGAGCTAGAGTCCCACAATATCTGAAAGCTCCATGTTAGCTACATGCACTTTGGAATCACTGGTGGATTGCACCAGTGAAGCTGGATGGCATTCTATTTTCTGAAGTCTGATTTTCATCCCGGAAGAGAATGAAAATGAATAAATGTCAAAGTACCGTATTTGTTTTATTAAGCAGTTAGACACATTACTGGTGATTCCACAGAACAGGACATGGGCATGTCCTAGAGAGGCCATCTCTGAGCAACAGGATGACACAATCAGGCTGTCACTGACATTCAGCACCACAACTAGCCTGAACACTCCAAGAATAAGCTACTGGGTGTTCTGGAAGGGCTTGAACGTCCCAACGTGCAGGTTACTCCTAGGAAAAAAGTGGTGCTGTCACACAGAAGATTACTGGGGAATAACAAGCTGTTGGATGTTACCAGGAAAGGTACTGAAGCCTTGGCATGATGGGCTTGTTCCACAATGGCGGCCTTGTGTAGAGGTGTTCTGGAGAGGGTTGGGAAAGCTAAGCTGTGCAGGGGGATACAAAAGTGAGCTGCACCCCAAGATAATTAAGTCCATTTCTTAAATATGATTAATGGATGATTCATATTCAGGTATGGGAATACGGCACAAAGGTCAACCCCATCACTTTATTCAGTTCACCCTCAGCTTTTCCTGCTCTTCTTATGAGCCATGTTCTTTCTATTGACATCTTCTGCACCAACCCACTTATGTAATAATCCCCTGACTAATCAGTTATGAGTAAAAGCCACCCATGAAGAACCTGTTTCGCTGACAACACATGCCAACCAAAAGAGTGTCCCTAAGTGTTGGGTAGCGTGGGAAAATTCAGCTAGCCAGAACCCTCTGTCCACCAAGGAAAGACATTGCCAGCACATCTTGCAACCACCAAGTATGCAATCCAGCCAAATTTAAATGGTTTTGGTTTAAATTTGATTTCAAATGGAAGGCATAATCATGGCCATAGAGGTTTTCCCTGACCTTTTCAAGACCAGTTTTTGCATGTGCATCTTTTGGGCCAAGAACAAAGATGCAAATTTGCTTTAATGTCTCACATCTGATTAGGAACACTACTATAAACTAATCCTTAAAATAGGTATACCACCCTTCAGAAATGCTTCTCAGTGGTTTACATAAAATTAAACAAAGCAAAAACTAGCCATTGCTCTACTTTTGTTGACCCTCTAGATGAGTTTTATGTATAGAACATTCTTCAGATTCTTTCTCCTTTCTATAATGTATACACTAGAGTCTTAAGAAGTACCACAAATACCCACGTCCTATGTATACAACACCCTATGTATCCACCTTTCTTTATTAGGGAGGTTCATACAGGGTTTTCCTCCATACCTTAAGAGAAACTCATTAAAATGAAAATTGTTACATAGCCTACTGTGCATCCAAAGGAAGACTGGCTGTGCTGAAACATGACTAACTACAAGAGAAAACAAAATCTCCCAAGGTGCCCTGTTCAGTAATGTAATGCTCCTGTATCGGAGCTTACACTTAAGGAATTCTGCCTGGAATTCCCAAGCAACCTTCAGGCTTTATGGAATCACTGCTAATTGCACTAACCTTGGGTTTCTAGTGGAGTGATATATAGCTAACGAAATGGCAGCTGCTTCCCAGATAATAAATAATAATAACTGAAGCAACAACAGCAAGTCATTATCGAGTCTATGTAGACTGCCCGTACCACACACCCATATAAAACAAAGCTTTATAGAATATCTAGTTTTAATTGTGACTCTAAATTATAACTTCAAATACTACAGGCATCTAGGAATATCCATTCCAGTTTAGCAGTGTTTTCAATAGATGGATGACCACATTACATAGATTGTAGTTTATAGTTTGTGGTTTACATCACAATCCAGAGAGCAGAGCAACAGTTTTCATGTATTAGAGTTCTGTGTACAGAAACAGTTATCCTGAGATAATTGAATGCAAATATTTGATTTGGGGAGTACTTCAATAATGTACAGTTGGTGTGGAATTAAACACATGAACAACAAATTTACTTTTTCCAAAGTTATTTTATTGGAACAGTCGGAAATTATTTCAAAGACACAACAACTCAACGGCACATCCCGCTTACATAAATATAGATCTTAGGGGGTGGGGAATAAAGACACAGAACTGTATTATTTTTTATTATTACCTTTGCCTGAAAACCATAAAGGCAAGAGTCAGAAATGTTCTTTCCACTATCTTCCACATTCTCTTTCAACTCTATGTGCGTTCAGTGATGCGTTCTGCAATCTGTTGGTAGTTTTGTTGGCATCCTATGTAAAAAAAATCATGAGCTTTTGTGTCTTGGTTCAATGTTTTTTGTGATGCTGGCAAGCACCACTTTTGTGATTTTTTACTATCAGAAGTTATGATTTGACAGAAGTTTTCTGGAGACCATGAAAATTCAAGAAAATTTGTTTTGAAGATTTTACCGGCTCTGGATTTAACCTGAACCCCATAAAAAATAAAGAATATGCATGTCTGTCTCTCTGGGGTGACATGGGGGCAGGGGAAGCAGCCAGGAAGGGATGGTGCCCATAGCACTCTATCACAATTCCATATGCCCATATTTACCCACAAGCTCCAAAAGACCGACTACCCCCCCCCAAACCTAAAAGTGACTAAGCTCCTATCTGTACTGTGGAGTGCTATCACACATTGTTTGTCGGAACTGTTGTTGTTTGGGGGTGGAGAAACCCACACAGTTATAACAAAGAGCACAGAGGGGCAACAGACACTTGATGTCTAAGTAGCGATTTTCTGGTCCGTGCATCTTGCAGCTGTTCCAAGAGTAGGTGGAAGCACAAAAGGCGTCATGAAGCTCTTCGTGGGATGAACAGGAGAAAGCAGGAAAATGAGAAAGGAAAGAAGAGCTGAGAGGAGAGTAGGAGGAATGAAAGCAGGGTGTGGGCAGGAAGGAGGAGTTGACGTGATAAAGCATGAAAGGGTAAGCCTTTTAAAAGGGGGAAATGTTGCATACATCCGAAGAGGCTTCAGTAACAGTTGCTATGGAAACCATAACTTTCAATCCTGCAGCTCAAGTTTAGGAGTAGCTCAATATGATTTATGTGCGCTTGAGTGCTATCTTGAGTAGAGAAACTCTAAGAAGAGGAGCAGTGTCCCTGAAGGGATGTTTCTGTGGAAAAATACGCAAACTATCACGCAAACCATTATTTTCATTACCATACAACAAGCAAATAGGCCTCATCTGCACTATATATTTAAAGCAGTACCATGCCTCGTCATGGCTCCCTGAACCCCAAAGAATCATTTTGTTTAAGCCAACATCCTTTAAAAAAAAAAAACAACTTGGCTCAATTAGACTCTGACCAACAGATTGGGTCCCTTTCAAATTTCAACAGGGGAGGCCAAAGTGGTTGGGGAAAGGGAAAGATTCTCAGCAAGGTAAAGGCCAGATCTTTAACATATGAAAAAAAAAACCTTCAAGAACCCAGGTCAAACAGTCACCCCTTAATAATAATAATAAAGCCAAGAAGCAGCAAATGTCCAAATGCACTTGTCAGTGGCAAGCACATACTTTATTCTGTAGACTCCTGCTCTAGTCCAAAGAGAGAAGCAGTCAGCAGTTCGTAACTCTCACTTGGTTTTAGAGGCAGCAAGCAGTCCTACCACTTCTGCAGGCCCCTAACTTAAGTTACCAGCCTTCGCCTTGATCTACCTTGATCGCCTTGTGTTGAGCTTCTGTGTGCTTCTGAAACTTAATGAGAGCACAGGAATGTGGTTCTACTCTTCTGCGCAGGTGAGCAGCGAACTCTTGTATCTTCAGTCGTGCAGAACTTTGGAGGCACTCGGAAGCAGCAGAACCAATGTCAGAGGCAAGATCCTGCCCTTCAAACAAGTAGGGGAAGGGGCAAGAGTCAGGAGCAACCACAGATTTTGCTTGATTATCAAGAGCAGTCAAAATATGTGAGTTGGCAAACAATTAGGTACTCTTGATTTTTATGGGGCGCAGAAGAAAAACACATGGAGTATGAAACGTTGGAGGGGAAGAAATAGCCTCCCCATTCCCCATGGCATCCATGTTCATCTCTCAGTTCTCAGAGAGGGCTTGTTCAAATGCACTCTGTGCTCTGGGAAAGCTGTCACAGCCACTCCCAGATTCCAGACCCCACAAATGGATCTGCAAACAAGAAGCTGGTGGATATGTGGCCTTGACATGGACAGGCAACTGATTTAGAGGTGGTAGATCCTTGCCATTTTTATTACAGTAGGGGCAATACATTTCTCCCCCTAAAAATTCATAATATCCCCAAAACATTTTTCCTATAAATACATAATACCCCCAACACTATAATCCTTTGTACATGTCCTTGTATATAAACTGTGGGGGTGGGCATGAATCAGTGCAACCTATTCCCAAGTAAACGAAGATCACACAAATAGTTTTCAGGAACCCATTTAAATATGATTAACCCAGAACATCTCAAAAGGCATTGGCAAGGGGCAATTTATTACTTTATTATAAAACAAAATGCATTGCCAGTCATATCTTATTGTTCAGGGAACTGAAATCCAAAACTCACCACTTGTACAATTTTACAAGTAGGTAACGTAATATATGTGTGTGTGCTCATTTGGTAAGAAATGAGGGAAAACCTGAGAAGAGGGATAAAAACAAGACGTTTGGGGTTTTATCATTTGTTTTTTAAATTCAAAAAATATAAATATACTTGCTTTGACTTATAAATTTGGTTGCATATGAACATATAACCTATAACAATAAAATAAATGTCAAAATAAAGAAGATCTACAATAAATGCAATATATTGTTATAGAAACCAAGGCTACAGTCCTACACAAAAATTAAATGCCACTGTACTTAGTGAAGTTTTCTTTTGAATAAACAAACATAGGATCATAAGATCACTGTCAGAAACTACAAAGTCCTAACACGAAGCTATACCTTTCAGCTTAACATGCCTCCTGTTCTCCCAACCTTCTAAGTTTCTATAGCCACAGCTGGATTACAGAGAGACTTCTTCAAGCCTGCACATGAAGTATCTGTGTGCAAAAGAAATCCCTTATATTCTCTCCCCCCACCAACTGCACTATGCATTGCACATAAAATGCTGATGAACAAAAATAGCACAAGTAAAAATGTGCAGCCTGTATCCAAGGCTTTCCTTGCTCTTCTTCACTCTGCAGCCCTCCAAATCTTCTCCAGAAAACTGGAGGGCACCTCCAGAACAGATCTTGAAGGCAACTGGGGGAGGAGAGGAAAGTGAAGTCTCGAAGTGCACACCCACCTGCACAACACTGGATTTCACCCACATTTTAAAATAGCATGCCCTACATATGTTGAGACTGTTAACAGAGCAACACTCTGTCCAAGAGAGAACAGAAACCAATGTACACAAAAAAAGGTTTAAATCAAAGTTAACCATTCCTCCAAATGAGAAAGATCCTCTTTGAGGAGAGAGCAGTGAGTCACTTGTTCCTTAACAAGCTTTGCAGAAGTACCCAATATTGTTTACCTATGCTCATATGAATATTGCCATAGCAAAAGATAAATCCTTCGCTTGTGTAACAAACAGCTAAAATGGAGCGAAGTAGAGGAAGGATATGCTCAAAATGAGTGATAAATGCAGACACATCCAAATGCCTTGATTGAGCAGGCCTGGCAATTCTCCCATCTGTTTTGCACAGTACAACAGTGGCTGGGGCCCATTGGGACTAGTAAGGCAGAAGGCTGGGAAACTAGTGGTAGGCGGAGCCAGAGCGAATTAATTCAAGTTTTGTCCCCGTCTTCCTCCCTGCAGAGTTCTACAAGGACAACCCTGAAGCTAAGAAAGAAGAGGAAGCTTACAGGCATTGCCAACTCCTGGGTTGGTTCTCAGTAAGAGGTTAGGCAGCTGGAGGCTGGCTGAGGGCAGAATGAGGTTGGTGGTGGGTCATTATCCCATGTGCCCTAATGGACAAACTGGGGTAACTGTGACACTCAGCCACAGGGCTACTTTCTCATGAAAAAATGTTGGCCTATTGTCAGGGTCAAGTCTTCTCTGAATGCTCAAAGGCACGTGCGGATTTGTGTGTCTCATTTTAATACAGAAAACTGAACTGCATGTGTAAAGCAGTATACGGATTGTCTCCATTCATTAACATCAATTGAAAAATTATTATTAATCTGGGAGTTGGTGGGGCAGTGCCCCATTTGCCGCAACAGAGCAGCCCACATTAGCACAGTGCAAGTTTTACATGGTTATAATCAAGGAGCAGTGTGCAGGAGGGATTTCCCTGAGGATCATTTCAGCTTCGCCCATGCTGGGGTTCTTAACAGTAAAGATGACAGCAAGTGTCATTCAACCTTCTTGAATCATTTATCTTAGTGCTGAAGTGTTATTGAAAACGTTTCTGCCAGTTTCAAAAACACAGGAAGAAGAGATCTAATCAGAGACTAGGAAGCAGTAGTATGTACACGCAAACGTTAAAGCGGCAAGTGATCCCCTGGCAAAACACCGAAGTGCCAGTCTCCTGTTAGATAAGTACCTGTTTTTCAGCTGGGTTCGATGCCGTAATGGTCACATATTGTTTTTAATGACATGGTTACTTTTAACATAAAAACTCCAGACTCTTGCAAGTTTGCGTGAATTTATCCCCAGTGTAATCCTCAGACAAGTTAACAGCTGTGGTTTTACTGTGACCCAAAAGCTCTGTAATCTCCAAGCATCCCTTTAATATATCATTGAGTGTAAGAGCAAGTCAATTTTTGTTTTAATACCAGAACAAAGAAGGTTCCAGAACTGGGTACCACAGTCTGCTGCCAGGTATGCAAGGGTTCTGTTCCCCCACCGTTTAACCTAAGCAAGTCTCTTCCTGCATTACATGCTAAGCAAAAAGCAAGGCTTAACGTGAGTGACTGTTTTATTCTTGAAATATACTGTATATCAGCTATATCAGCTATATTTTCAATCTGAGGGCCGTGTTCCCTTGTGGGAAACCTTCCAGGGGTCACATGACAGTGGGAGGTAGAAGGGGAAGATAAGACAGAGCCCTGGATGTGACTCTTTCATTTGTACAGTAGGGTACATTCCACCCAGGCAAAAGATTGGTACACACACACACACTCATACCTACATATCTCCATCCAAGCAAGCAAATGGCATTATCACAGTTCATGGATTGATCTCAGCCAAGCAAAAGCACTTACGGAGGTCAGCAAGGGGTGTGGCCTGAGATGGTGTGATCTAGGGAGAGTCCTGAGAGCCACACAGGAAGACTTAGAAAGCTGCATTAGCCCCCGGACCTGAAGTTCCCCACCCCTGCTGTATAGTCGAAAGCAAGTCAAGTTTCTCCCAGGAAACTACGCATACAGGATTGCATCCTAAGCCACAGAACTAATTTTAGTGCTATTTCCGCCTAGCACATCTAGGTTCATTACAAAAGGAAATAATGGATTCTGTCAGAGTCAAGCATAGGTCAGCAATAAAAAAGCAAGGTGTAAGTACAGTTAATTATTTATTTATTCAAAGAAACCATAATAGTGCATGACTAGTGAGCGCAGCAACTCTTCCCAGTAGGTACTGCTCCAATGAGGCAGTTGCAAGGACTAAAGGTCCCCATCTTCCCACCACTCTCTAAGGCTCCTCCTCTCGAGGGTATTTCCCACACAGTCACAAACTATGTCTGTGTACAACCAAAAAGAGCTCTGCTCTCTTCATTTCTCTGCATGTTCTAGGAGACATGGGGGGAAGAGAGCTGGTTGCAGCAGGAGGGGGAGACTCCCTGGATTCTTCAACAGCCTGTCTCAACTCTTGCCCCTTGGCCACCCTCCTCTCCAGCCATGAGTCTAAACTGCTCTCTGCCACAGTCTCTTTCTGCTCACTAAACCCTGCTACCTCTTCTGTTTCCAACACCTCCTCCTCCCAGTCTGCTCCTTCTTCCTCTGACCACACATCATTGCCCCACCACCAATCCCCTGGCTCTGAGCCTTCTTCTCCTGGGAGTTCCCCAGCTGGTGTATCCCACCATTCCTTTGCATCCAGCAAGTCCATGACAGATTCATGCCTGTGAGCTTTCATATCTCTGGTTATTTAAGTACCTGCTGGTAGCCTCTCTAAACTATGGATTAGTTGGAAGCTACATGTTCATTTTATGAATAAAGCTCAATTCACACGTGCAGAACATGATGTGTCCAACACTTGCTGTTCAACATGGGAATTAATGCCACTGATGAGTACAGTGGAACCTCTACTTACCACCATAATCTGTTCCGGTGGCCCGTCCTTTAGGCGAAACAGGTCACTAGTAGAAGCACCATTGTGCGCATGTGCAGACGGCGACAGCCACTTCTGCACATGCGTAAACAGCAGAAGCCGCTTCTGCGTGTGCGCAAATTGTGGCAAACCTGGTATTTACCATATTTTTCCATCTATAAGACGCCCCCATGTATAAGATGCCACCTATTTTGGGGGACTCAGATTTAAGAAAATGGGGGGAGATGGCCCCGTGTATAAGACACCCCCTAATTTCTGACATTATTTTTTAGGAAAAAAAGCTAGTTTTATACATGGAAAAATATGGTACTTCCGAGTTTGCTGTGGTCACGAATTCGATTGGGCCCAAGTAGAGGCGGTCGTAAGTAGAGGTTCTACTGTATTGTGTTGTATGAAGTGTAAGAGGATATGAAAGCCTTACCTTTGGTTTGATCTATAATGGCTCTCTTATATATTAATGCAGTCAAGGAATCATAGTTGCGGTCACTGAACAAGGGACGCGTATGTGAGAACTCAATCTCATGTGCTTGAGAAATGGAACACTTCCCTGTTGACTCTTAGTAAAGGCACACACAATACAGAAAGAGGGTATTGTGAACAATAGAACATATGAACCATAACTCTCCCCAACACTGCAGTCCATCTCTTCACCCATTGATTCATACTGATAAAGGAGCACCAGTGAGTTTTCAGACTCAGGTGCACCACAAGAAAAGATTGGTTTCCACTTTATCACCAAAAGTGAAGAAAGTCAGTCTCAACTTCCGGCTTCCCCATCTGAGAAGAGCACACAATCCTCTAGTATCCAATCAAAAACACACTCATCCATGTTGTTCCTTACCTTGAGCCTCTTTACATTAGAAGGCGGTGGGGAGCAGAGAACTCTGTGTATGGAAACAACATTGCATTCATTCATTTGTACGCTATATCATAGCAGCACGCTGAAGCTACCAGATAAAGAAACGCTAGGATTCCATTCCTACATCTGTTTGAAGGAATGAGGTCTAAAAGATTAGCCTGCTACACTACTCTACAAAGATAGATTTATAGGATACAAATACACAAAGCATCTACTTATGTACTGTAAAAATTTGCAAGACTGGACCACGCTGAACATGTATACAGTACACATACTTCTGAAACCCAATACACTGAACAGGCTGGTACATTTTAATTTTCAATAACAATGCTGCAACATATTTCCCCTGAAGCTTCTTCTTATATATTCATATTTACTAAACACACTATACATATGCATTGCATCATCTGCAACTAATACGTTCCTTAAACAAAGCAAGCTGCACTTGTGGGGGGGTGCACAATACAGAACACAGCATGCAGCAGACTTACAAAATGTAAATTACAGCAGAACTACGTTACCTTCTTAAACTACATACCCACTTAAAGACAGACATTAAATTCTGACTTGTTTTTTAGTTTGTCAAGTAATTTGGCATGTCTTAGCAGCACTGAGTATTTCCACAGAGAAGTGTTCTTTCCAAGCAAGAAAGAGAGAAGTTATGTTAATTTTCAAATCCTATTACTTTCCATGGCATCCATCTACAGCTATTTAAAATGCATTCACTGACACAATGTAACTGATCTGACAAGAAAGCTGGAGAGTAATTTAAAAGAAAAAGGGGAAAAAACTCAAGTGAAACTAATTTTCCATGTTGATGGGATTCAGTTGTCACAACAAACAGCTTACAAGTTTTTACATAGCATGCAGCACGATCCTATACACACTTACTCTGAAGTAATTCCCTCTGAATTAAATGGGGCTTATTCCCTGACAAGGATTACAGCCAAAGAACTGAGAACTTTCTAAACCATCCATGTTTCGGGGTCTTTGTGCTGGCTGTATTTGGGCTTTTAAAAAATCCTCATGAAAGCAGGATGAATTATGCAGAGCATCCCAGATATCCAGCGTTGTCCAATCAAACCATCAAAACTCACTACATCCATATTTACATGTGTCCAATCATTGACCGGGAAGAAATCTCTGGAAATTGACTACATAAGCATTGGTTCTTTAGCAATATGTCACCTACATCCACCTCCTGCCTGAGTTATGAGTATTTGAATCTAAACACTATTCACCAAATATGTCCAAGGATGCAGTCTATAAACAAAAGCAACCCTCCCCCCTTCTCCAATGGGACAGGACATCGCAAGCAGCTTGCAGCAGTACTAGCGGTGTGGCAATGTCGCAAAACGAGGGGACCATAACACACAAGCACATCAGTGACTCCACCACACGTTTAAGAGGCACACTCCACATTACACTGGCTAGCTCCTATGGACAGTTTATGGGCTTTGATCTCAAGAGCATTTGAGATGCAAATGAGAGGTTGGGGAAAGGATTACTCGTGTGTGTGTGTGTGTGTGTTGGGGGGGCTGTACCAAAATCCCTCTGATCCATCTGTGCCATTATACCCTTTCTGGGAGAACAAACGATTATCTTCCTTTCTTCCTCCTTGCCATTGTGCGAATGTTTTCCTCGCAGCTGCACACACACCGGCCGCATCGCGCCAGAGGCACAGCAGCCAGAGGTTATCCCAAAGCTTTATCCAGCTTCCTAATCCCTGGACGGCGAGAATGTAACATCGGGTCTGAGCGCAGAAGATTACACTCAAGCGGAGAGACAGACAGACAGAGAGACACCCCCTCCCTCCAAGCTGATGTTCACAACAGAGCGATGGCCCCTCGGGTAGCAGAGAGTCGGGGGGCGGAAAGGAGCTTCTACTGCCCGTAGGAACAAGCACTAGCCCGGTGGGCCGTCTCTCTCTCTCGCCCGCTCCCTTCCCGGCCTCCCTCGCACCAAAGCAGTCCCCATCCCGATGACCGCCTGTCCATTCATTCTGCCTGCGAAATGCGCACAGCGCAGGGCTCCAGCCTCGCTTCTACCGGCTCGAGGCACTGGCGAGAGGAGACGGGGACCCCGCCGGGGAAAGGACAAGGAGGGAGGGAGGGGGCGTCTCTCTCCGCATCTCCATTTCTCCCGCTTCCACAGCAGCCAGCCAGCCCTCCATTCATTCCGTCAGCCTCATAAGCCAAGCAGGGACGTTACTTACCAGCACTCGGGCGCCCCGGCCGAGCGCCGCAGCCCACAGCGGCGGCGGAGGAAGCGAGGCAAGGGAGCAGCGCGCTCGAGAAGGACAGGCGCTCACGATAGCTCCTTTCCCGCTGCAGTGCCAGAGTCGCCAGTGCCGCCGCCGCCGCTCTCAAGACGAGCCCATTCTGCCAATAGCGGCCGCTGCCATATTGTTACCGCAAGCGCTGAGGGCGGGGCCTGCCGGTACCTTGGAAACCGAGCTCCATTGGCTGCGCCGCCGGCCAATCTAACCGACGCGGCCCAATGAGCCGAGCCGGCGGCGAACAGCGGGGCGTTTGGAGTTAGGAGCACGGCAGGCGTGGACAATAGCAGGCGCACGCGGGGAGCCAAGTGTAGCGGGGGAGGGGGAAGGTGGCAGGAGAATAGGCGCCTCCGACCACCGGAGCGGTCGCTGAGGGGGCGCTGGGCGAGAAGCGCGTCAGCTACGTTCCAAAGCCGCGCGCGCACCTCTCTCTCTCTCGCGCGCGCTACCTGCGAAAGCGGCGCTCTTTCTTTCCTTCAGGGCCAGTGACGCTAACCCCGTTGGGCTGCCAATCTGATACGGAGTTGGCCAATCAGGAGAACGACCTGGGTTAAATTAACGCGGGCCGAGGGAAATTGCTACGTGATTGGCTATTGACCGAGGGGGGGGGGGAAGGTGGGTGGCTTATCCCACCCATTTGGGCAGGGGTACAGACGTTTGGTCTGTAACACGTGGATAGGAGGAATGCTCCCACTTCTTTTTTTACTTTTTTAAGTGGTGGTTGGGTGGGATACTGTTAGCCCCGTTGAACTGGTAGAGCAATAAGCCGCGCAGTTACTGGGAACTTTTTTCATGTAGAAAATACTGTCTCGGTAATGACCACTGTAACTCCCCCACCCCCCCGGTCCAGTAATTGCTCCCTTCTCTTTTTCATTTCCCTCTATACTGGCTCTTCCATATCCCACAACTGTGTGTGTGTTTGCCAATTCAGGAAAGTTTATAATGCGCTTGCAATGTACAGCATTTTAGGTCCCTCGTTGTAACCAGTTTGAGACTTGTTTTTCTTTGAAGGGGGACTGAGGAAAGTACAAAGTTGCCATTCTTGTAAGTAAATATTAGCACCTTCGAAGACTGTAGTCTATGAAAGCTTATACCGTAAGAAACATGTTCCAGGCATGCTTACATTCTGGTATGCACAAAGCACTGCAGCTTCAATAACATGCCTCAATACACTTTTACCGTAACAGACTTAGCAGGGCCTCTGGAGATTTTTGTAAGTACTTTACTATTTAAGAGTGAAATAAAGAAAGCAAAAACTTGTGTTCAGACGGAATTGAGTAATGTTTACTGAATACTAGTGTAACAAGGCATATTCTTCACAAAACCCAAAATATTTGACATGATACAATGCATCTGTAATATTCAATTTTGTTTTGTTAACTTTATAGTGTTGTGGCACCCACCCTTTGGAATTCCCTCCCCTTATTAAACATTAGACAGGTGACATCCCTGTTGTCTTTTTGGTGCCTCCTGAAGACCCTTCTCTTCCAATAAGACTTTTAAGTGGAGATCTTTTCAGGATTTCATCAAGTTTTCTGTGCTGTCTCCTAAGATGAGTTGCTGATTGTTCCCGGAATGTAAGGATCAGACTACACATTGTGTGCAAATATAGGTAACCTAACCCAACTGGTCCATTCCTGTATGGAAAAGCAGGTTTGAGAGAACATGGTGCTTTTCTGCTACAACGGCCACTCCCCAACACACTACCTACTTCAACAAGATTCCAGATGACCTGTTTCGTCACACAAATAAGACAGCAGGAGCAGATTCCTGTTCCACCTGGAATGTCACCTCCTCGTCCACCTGGCCAGGATCGTTATGGCTTGCTAGATGTTGATGTGGCTTGTTGTTTCTTTTCTCCAAAAAAAATAAAGTATATCAATATTAGTTGTAAGCTGCTTAGGAAGGTTTTGTATCCTGAAGGGTGAGATATCAATTATTATAATAAATAATCTTCCCTTGCCACTTCAGCAATCTAAATTGCAACCCCCCCCCAAGCTGTTTTTTTGAGGGAAGAAAGGGCCTTCAGGGGGTAGTTACACATTTCCTTTGTTCTGCATCATAGAGGCCACTTTAAATTATTCCATGTGGCAGCTGTCCCTATGTGATGAAACATTTATGTACAGCACATTGTTGCATGGTTCTAACAATTTTCTCTGAGCCTTGCAGGCCTTTCCCTTGTTTTCCATTTATACATTTGCAAAAATGTGGAGAAAATTCAGACCTTGTGAAGAACCACTGCACACAAATGGATTCCTATATAGAGGCAGCAGTAAGGTATATAGATTTCAATGGAACTTCCTTCCATGTAAGAGTGCTTAAAATCATATTGTGAGACAAAATTTGCTTCCTTCTGCTGTTTTTCATTTCTAAATCACTGAACATGATGGGTGGTAAGTAACATTCTTACATTTTGCAATGTACAATAATTAACACTAAATCACATATTATATGGTAAAGGTAAAGGGACCCCTGACCATTAGGTCCAGTCATGACTGACTTTAGGGTTGTGGCGCTCATCTCACTTTATTGGCAGAGGGAGCCGGCATACAGCTTCTGGGTCATGTGGCCAGCATTACTAAGCTGCTTCTGGCGAACCAGAGCAGCGCACGGAAATGCCGTTTACCTTCCCACCGGAGCGGTACCGATTTATCTACTTGCACTTTGATGTGCTTTCGAACTGCTAGGTTGGCAGGAGCAGGGACCGAGCAACGGGAGCTCACCCCATCGCAGGGATTAGAACCACCGACCTTCTGATCAGCAAGTCCTAGGCTCTGTGGTTTAATCCACAGCACCACCCACGTCCCTATAACATTCCACAATATGGCTTCTCCTACTTGTGCCGTTCTATTCATCTTTGGGAGCAATTAACAAAAAATTATAAAAACTAATCATGCAATATTTAAACAATATTCTCCTGAAAATTCTTATCTGTGTGGTGTTAATGCTCATTAAATGGATAGTAATACATGTTTAAACTCATCCTATCATGATATGTAACAAACCTGCATATCCATAACAGTTATGGCACAAAAATATTCTTGCTTTCTCCACCAGCACAACAAAATTGGTTTTTATTCTAATCCAAGAAATCTGACATGAGGAGTATTATGATCTTGATGTGACTGACATGGCTGTTGGCATTTTACAGTGTTCAAATTCCATTTTGTGAGCCTGCAAAGCTGTCCGTTCCAATTGGAATATGTGTATATTTAGTTTGTTGTGCCTAAACCCTGTCTGTCACCCACAGAGAGCATACACATATATTCTGTCTAGGCTGCTTTTTACAATTTAAATCTGCCATGTTACCTAGCTGAGGCGCAGTTACTTTGCTCTTATGCATGATATAACTGAATACTTGGCCAGCTCTCACTGACCCAGGACCTTTGAGGCATAGTCGTGAACTTACTGCCACATTGAGATGCCTAAGGTTTAAAAAAAGGGGAAGGTAGCTCCTTTTTTGGTAGTGAAGGAGAGATTGGCCATCAATTTATGTTTACAGACTGTAGATGCCTTTGCTGAGAATCTCATATATGTTTAGTAATATGGGTAATCTTTTGCAGTCCATATGTCTAATCTCCACATTATCTGACTTTCAGAAATCACCAAGCTTGAAAACCTGGCTTCCTTTAGATTTTCACCCAGTAAGACTATTCTTCTAATACTGATTCTTCTGTTAGATGATTATTGTAATTGAGTTCTGAGAAGGATATATAGTTAGAAGCAATGGTGCTCTGCAAGCATGTGTATATAATACTATATACAAACACAAAATAATGAGGACAGAGATGAAAAAAGCATTTTGCAAATCTGTTTTAAAAGTTGTAGTGGCAAGGATATATTTGTAATTTACCTAATTACCTAATTAGCAATGGGACATTAGAAAGAGGAACATGCTGACCTCTTCTCTATTTTGCCTTTGATGGAAGGAAGTTGGGTAAATCTTTAGGATAAACCCAAGCTTTCCCCTTCAAATTCAAGTGGATTGGGAACTTCCTTGGTTGGCAGAAGGAGGCTGTAGCTTAGTTCTCAAAAATAAAAACCACACTCTTTTATTGGGCCTAGAACAGGTTGTGGCCCTCCAGATGTAGAATTACAATTTGCATCATCTCTGAGCATCGGCTGTGCCATCTGACAACATCTGGGGAGTGACAGGTTTGCCATCCCTGGCTCAGGGTAAAATCCCTCATGCTAGGGAAGCTGAAGCTGACATCAGGAGAGGTGACAGCATACTTGCTACATCACCTTCATTCAGTCAACTGTGTATGCCAGGAATAGGATAACTGCCCTTATCTTGTGACTGTGGTACTAAATGGACTTATCACTGTTTAAACCTATCAAAGCAAGAAAGGAAGGCCCTGTTTTATAATGGAGGCAACACAAGTTAGGCGTGTGACTCTTTTATATTACAGTCAGTAGTTTAGACCAGAGGATGTTTTGATAATAGACCAAAAGGAATGTAGAAAACTGTAATAAATAGTATTACGGCAGCATAGATTGGTCTGTTTAAAAAGTTTGTAATGACACGCAACTCAATTCTAGGCATGAGAGTAGGACTCAAGAGTCCTACTCTGTTGAATAGGACTTTCCTGTAGAAAGAGTGCAGCCTTTAATCCTGGAATGGTGGGCAGCTGTCCTTTATAATATTTATTTTGCTGTTGTAGTTGTTTGCTTGTGTTTATCCACTCAATGACCAATACAGAATAGCTACTAACTAGTAATATCCAGATAATGGAAAGCTGTAATTGGCACATAGCACTTTCTGTATTTCTCTGAAGAGTTGGAACAAGTGTGTGAAATGTTGGTTATTGTATTCTTACTGTGGAAGTGAAACATCTTTATATTGTAAAGGTCTGTACTTTTACCCCATGCATCCTTTAAATCTATATTTACAGCAAAGATGGGGAATCTGTATGCGTCCCCCACACCTGCCCCAGATATGTCTGGACTCAGTCTCCCATCAGCCCCAGCCAGCATGGCCATTGATGATGGGAGTTGTAGTCTAACAATATCTAGATACTGATACATGAAGGATGCTTTCCAGAACAAATCAACTAGTTAGAGTAATAAAACTGCCATATATATATATATATAGATATATATAGATATAGATATAGATATATCTCACCAAGATTTACTCACCCATTGATGCTAGGCCCAGCAAAGAAAGGATAAAAGTTAATAAATCTGTCAGACATTCTCAGCGCTAGAGGATCAACCAGGAGCCTTCAGATCTTCTCTTATTCTGCTGCCCCACGTGGCAAGCCAAGAAGACTGTATGGGACGCTGTGGTGTGCTTTTGGATTCTAATCTAGAGCCACTCCACACACCCAGGCAGGCAGCCTGCTGACTCTTCCTGACCTCGCTTTGTGCTGTTGCCTAAGGAAAAGCACTGACTAAATCATGGGATAAATTATTCAGTTTGTCAACTTACATTCTCTTATACTGTATAATACTTTCTGAGTGCTATGATATATTTGTATATTTTTGTGCATTTCAGTCTCTTCATTATTCACAAGTTACCCTTGATTTGTGACAAGTTAAGATTTTTTTTTTAAGAGGGTGTCTTTTTCCCAAACCAAAGACATAAAGTATGTGAGACTAATCAATCTTCATTTATTTCATCCTTCTGCCCTGCCTCTCAATATATAGTGTAAGCAAAAAAAAGAAAAAAACACACAAAAAACTAGAGCAAAGGTTGTGAATGTACATGGCAGCTATCCCTTCAACTCAGTTGCTCCTTCTGCTAAGCTACCACACTCCACCACACTCCCCACCCTTGAGCTCAAAGAATGATTTGGGTTTTAGCTGGCAGAGGGCAGGTAGGAGGAGGCAGCTGTGATGAACAAGAAAATCATGAAAGTGCAAACATGCAGACAGCCTCATGCTTCACTGGGCTGCAGTTATAATTGTGATGGCTTATATGTGCTCATCAAGGAGAATGATGCAATATTATTTGCAAGTATAACTAGTTATTTCTATCAGTGAAGAAATGAAGAGCTAAGAGTGAAATATGCAATCATTTCATTTGACTAATTTAATATATATGTATTACTGATTCAGGAACTCGTTGACTCCGTTTAATAACCCTGGAAGATACCAAGTTTCTTTGGAAACCCAAGTCACTGTTACCTCACCTATAACTGGTGTTTGATTGAAGTTGGAGCTTGGTTTTGGCTGCTGTTTCACTTTCTCTGTGGTTTCACTGTTAAGCAATCGGTTCTGTGGTTTTTCTGACTTGTAACATCAAGGGGGAAGCCCCTGCTCATACAGAAGTGTTGGAGCTTCAGATTGCAGCGTAGTTTATTAGAAGATTGCTTTAGCAACATGAGCCACAATCCAGTAAATACATTGAATGCACAGAAGATACGCACACCCACCTTTTTCCACTGGTGTTTGCCACATTTGCTTTTAACACTGAACTCCAACAATTTTACACTACTTTTATTTCTCTCGTTTTTAAAAAAAGAGTTTTAGTTCTTAGTGCTGCCAAGCCGGTAGAATTCAGAACCAGGGTGGTGATGAAGGGACAACTATGACCAAGATCTAATCAGGCCACTTCACATGTGCCAAGTCACATCTGCACATGAAGGGGTAGGCAGCCACAGCCCTTTGTGCCAACTTGAATACCACTCTAGAGGGTCCCCTGTCACCTTTAAGAAGAAAATCAGGGCCCACAATGAGAAGTAGAATCTGAGCAACCCCTATGTGTGTGTAGAATGCACTATGTTTGATCCTGACCTGCACTTGAGGAAGGCGGTAGGCGATTTTTGTCATTTCCTCCTTACCTCTGAAATGCTGGTAAGCCCCTGGAGCAACAGCAGGAGCCTGCAAAAATATCCTCATGGAGAGTGAGGAGTCTACTGGATCTCAGTCCCTTCCATGAATAGAAATGAGTTATCTCATTCATGGAAGGCACACCCATGCATGTAAATCTTTGGATCCTTGCCCCTGTGTATGCGTGCATCTGTGGCCTGGGATACTTAGACTGGCATTGATCACATCCCTGGATACTTCCTGTATTACCTTCTACTCTCTCCAAATTCTGGCAAATAGGAGAACGTATTTCCATCCTAGAGTTTGTGCTGCTCTTCTGCCTTTCAAGCACACCACCCAGGCACCTTTGGGAGCTTTCACCTGGTGACTGTAATGTTTGAATGGGCCTGTTCTTCCATGAACCATGTTGGAGGTGGTCTGAAATGTACTGATAAATATATTTACATTTATTCTCCAATCTCAAACACTGAGATTGCTCTTGTTTGTTTGGAATTTATTATACTTTTTTTTGCATCGCAGATACAATCCAGTGGGATGGGTGGTATATTTGTAGGGCAATGACTTAAAGGCACGTACTGCAAAGATTGAAAAACAGAATTTGGCACTTAGAGAGGCAAAGAGTGCCACCTGCTGGGATTTCCTAGGTTTCATTTTCTTTCTTGGTAATGGCTATTGCACATTTTTCAGTACTAATGTAAAGTAGATGAATTTCAGTGGGATTACCACTTTACAGCAAAAGACTAACAATGATTGTGGAACAAGCTTTTGTGGACAGATGAAGTGGGAAGTCCATGACTACTCATGCCATAATAATTGTTGTTAGTCTTTCTAAGATGCATGCTTACTGAAATTACCGGTAATCAATTTGCAGTTGAAAGTAAAGAGTTAGGTACATCATGCCAGTCTTACTGATATTTATTCAAAGGGCAGTTCCACTGAATTCAACAGGTCTTATATCCAAGTAAGGTATTTCATTTCAAATGTATTGATATCCAGTATTCTGAAGGGAGGTATGAAGGTTGGTTTTGGTCAAACTGGATTGGAGACCATTCATCTACTAACAAGGAAGGGCATAGCTGTATGACAGAGCATGTAATTTCATGCAGTAGGTCTTCGGTTCAGTTCCTGGCATCTCCAGGTAAGACTGGAAAAAAGTCTGGCTGAAACCCTGGAGGACCACTGCCAATCAGTGGAGACAATAATGAGCTAGACAGACCAATGGCAGAAGACATTTTACCCTATCCTTAGCAGTCTGATTGGTGGCTTTTCACTCTACCTGTATAAATGGGATCATAACCATCAAAAAAATCTTTGTATATTTAAAAGAATACAAATAAAATGTTATTAAAGATTTTAAAAAAACCAAAACAAACCACATATTGAGGCAGACAAAAGGGAGTGGAACAGAGGCATAATAATAAAAATCCTTGGAGCCTAGGCAAAGTAACTGGACTTCATTGTTGAAGAGGAAATAGCCAAGGGCTAAAGGTAAAGTATGGGGTGCTGGTGGCACTGTGGATTAAACCACAGAGCCTAGGGCTTGCCAATCAGAAGGTTGGCGGTTCAAATCCCTGCGACGGGGTGAGCTCCCGTTGCTCGGTCCCTGCTCCTGCCAACCTAGCAGTTTCGAAGCACGTCAAAGTGCAAGTAGATACAGTAAATACTGTAGGTACTGCTCCGGCGGGAAGGTAAATGGCGTTTCCGTGTGCTGCTCTGGTTCACCAGAAGCAGCTTTGTCATGCTGGCCACATGAGCCAGAAGCTGTACGCCGGCTCCCTCGGCCAGTAAACCGAGACGAGCGCCGCAACTCCAGAGTTGTCCACAACTGGACCTAATGGTCAGGGGTCCCTTTATCTTTACCTTTAAAGGTAAAGTAGAAGCAACAGGTATCACAGAATGCAGGGTCTTAATTGGGAGACCTGTCCACATTTGGCGAACAGTCATGAAAGTGTTGCTGCAAGGCATGTTAGTTTGATCATCACTTACGTCTTCCTCTTTTCTGTTTTTTTCCTTCCCTCACATTTGGTCAGCCACACTGTCCATCCATCTTTCCTTTCCTTGTCTTTCTTTTCCAACTTCCAGTGCTGCAGTCTCACTCTTTTTTCCAACTCCTAGTGCTTGCACACATGCCTATGCACTGTGAATGGGGGCAGCTGTTGCTGACGCTGTAAGAAGATGGGCATGCAAGCAAAGAGGGACTATGGCTGACTCCCACTGTTCTTTCCTGGCCCATAGATTGAGAAACACTGGTCTAGAAGGCTAAAGCACTGTTTTAATGGAAGCAGCCAGAGAAAAATAAGAGATGGCCACTTGATGGCAGCAGTGTAGTAAAGGAGGAGGAGGAAGACTTGTCTTGGCTGGCTGGCTTGTCTTCCCTCTCACTTTGCAGTCTATAGCCCTGCATTGTTGCACAAGGAAACTACGTAATTTCACAGTCTTTCTCTCTATATTTGTTATGTTTGGAACTTGTGAGTGAGGAGCAACAATTCTGGAAATTTCTGCAATAGTTAGCAAGAGAAAGTATGCTTTCCTCTAAGGTTTCTGGGGGGAAGTGGAGGCTATTGTAGATTTCAAGGAAATCAGATATTCCTCCTGTCCAAGCAAATTATCAAAATAAGTAGTGTGGACTGAATCCAGAAAGCAGTGCCCATGGCTTGGTAGCTGTCAAGTATTTCTCCATGAAAATCTCTACTTTGTTCTTGTCTATGTTTCGCCTGTGATGGACTTTGTACTTATGGCAAAGTAGAGAGGTGTCAGCTGACTTGAAAAGATAACTGAGTAACATACAAAAATTGTAAGGTAGGGATGTTGGTCTAATGGAGGGCAGGGCGCTCAAAAAGCCACAATAGGGGGATAATCTCTATTGGGACCACCTAAATTTCACAAAGTACCTGCAAGCTTTTGAATTCTCCAGAAATCATCTTCACACTGGATGTAGAGCAAAACAACAAGGAGGAAAAAAATCATGCTGTTTGATCCTAACAGTCTGGGCTTGTGCAGGGCATGTTAGGCAGATGAAGTTTGTAATCCTAACCACTGCTTTCCCCCCAAGGGGTATGCAGTGCTGGCACCTCTTTTTTGTTGTTGTTAAAAAGTGTAGCACTACTGTAACAACTTCATGGTGAGTACCGGCACCTATTTTTCTAGAAAAAAAGGACTGATCCTAACTACACTTTGCTAGATAGTAAGCCTCATTAAACAGAATGAGACTTATTTCTGAGTAAACAGGCACTGAAAGACTGAAATCCTATGCTCACTTGCTTCCTAGTAAATGAGTACAGTAAGTCCACAAATTACGTCGGGGTTACATTCTGGGGATCGCACCTAAAGCCAAAATTACATATGGTCAAAACCCATTGGGTTCAATGGTGGGTGGGACTGTCAAATTCATTTTTCCTGGAACACCCACACCTTTTATTTTTTGCAATGTGTGTAAAGTTGAATGTGCACAAGTTAAATGCACTAAGTTGCGGACTCATATAGGATTGCAGCCCTAGGCAGCAAAAGCAAACAGTATCTCATCCACTGTGGATTTGGCGGGGGGTGGGGATATTTACAGAAACTTTTTGTAGGTGGCATAGGAGGTACTGGTGGGGACACTGGTGCCCACGGGTGCCATGTTGGTGAAACCTGTTCTAAGAGCTTGAGGCAGGAACTGAATCACAAAATATACTCTGCTAGATCTTTCATGCTTTCTTTCATAATTTTGCAGTTTTCAGCCTGTGACTTTTGCCATCAATGCATGTTGAGATACAGACAAGGGCTGGATTATGCCTCTGTCATGGTCATTTCATGATTTTCATCGGGAATTTATTTGTGATGCTTATGACTAGTGGGCACGTTGCTTCATACAGGAAATACAGTTTGTATTCATGCAACTACCAGCTTCTCAATAGCCTTTGGCTGAATTTTCTGTCCCAGATCTCTTTCATTCAGTTATTCTACTATAATAGCAGGACTTATTTCCAGCCGGGACTTACCCAAACTGAGTTCCGTCACCTCTTTGATGTGTTCCGGCACCTCTTTGTAGCATACAGCAGCTGTACAGTGGCAAGGCGCCCAGAGCTGCGTGTTGGAGGCTTCAGACTGCATACCGCTCATGGCTTTGTTTCTGAGATGACATTGTAATGCAGTCGCAGTGATGCTGGCGGTGGGGCAATCAGGCGAAGAAGCGTTCCCCTGCAAAAAAGCATTTCCCCCCCTAAAATAAGCTCAACAATTTATTTGTCCATCAAAAAAAAGTGGGAGTTCCTGCACCTTTTTCTGGTAAAAAGCACTGTATAATATACAATTGTGCATGGGATGTTAGGGGAGCGGCAGTACCTATGGTGGGGGGGGGACACATTTTGCTCCTTTTGGGGTAGTTCATCCACTTTCAGTTCCCACTGTAGCAACCCCTGCTGGCACCTGGGGGCGGGGCTTTGGCAGAGAGTTGTTGAGCTTTCTTTAGGGGATCTGCAAAAGTTTTTGAGCTTTTTTGGGAAACATCACCAAGAGTTCCTAAACTGGCATTTTGAGGGACGCCACCCGCTCTGCAGTGCCCAGCAAATCCCCGTGCCACCCTGCAGCTCCCCTGCTGCTCTAGTGACACCCAGCAGCCCCCATGATGCCCTACAGCCCCCACTGCCAGCCTGCAATACCCCCTGGTGCCCAGTGCACCCTGTACTCCCCCCTCCTTCCTTCCTTCCTTCCTTCACTAATGCATTCAGCTCTCTTCTGTGGCTCCTAGAAGCTGTCAGCATGCAACAGTGGCCACACCCCAGGAAACGACTTTGAGTAGCCAGCTAAACCAGGTAAGGATAGCCAAAGGGGCTTAAACCCTCGGTGAAGGCAGGCTCCAGCAGACTGAGCAGACAGGACCAAGAGGGTCCAACCGTCAAAAAGGTGGTTTCTTAAACCTCTGCTGCCTTGTTGCTATATTCATTCACGAGAAAGGTTTCGGGAATAAACTCTGAGGAATGAACTCCATCCGTTGCCTTGTAGGACATTTTTGGGAGAAGAAAAGGCCAAGGAATAAACCCTACACAAATCGAGCAGAGAGATCCTAAGGTGGTTGGGTGGCATGTTCTTCTCTACCAAGGCAAAATGATGAGTATCCTGAAGACAGCCAAGGTCAGGCCACTGGCATCAGCTGGGCTTGATTGTCACCAGGTGATCGGCACTGGACTGTGTTTGTGTTACACGGAGCTATCACAGTGCCCACTGTGACAAAGATCAGTCCTTGGCAGATAGCAAGATCCTCCTCTAGCCAAAGAGGACCTATAGCACAAAACAGAAAGTGCGGTCTCAAATTAACATTGCCACAAGAGTCATAGCTGAACTTTGTGGATGCTTTTCTGATTCTGTTGAATAAGCACTACTGCTTGTTGAGCACTAGAGACAGGTTGAAGAAACCACATCAAAGAGGCAACCTACAACATAGCTATGCCTTCTTTTGGCAAAAGAGAACCGCAGAGCCCCAACTGGTTTGAGGCTGGCATAAAGGACACAGAGCCTGTTATTGCTGCAAAGCGTGAGGCTCTTGTGAACTACAAGCATACAACCTTCAAGAAGACATATACTTGTATTCAAGTAGCAGCAGGGATCTGTTCACCTGGCATATCTCCATGCCAAGACAAGAGTGTTGTGGGTTCATATCTGAGAGATGCTGTTTGCAGATGATGCAGCCTTGACAGCACACTCTGAGGAAGCTCCACAGAGAGACTCGTCAACCTTTTTGCCCAAGCCTGCAGGAAGTTCAGCCTCACTATCAGCCTGATGAAGACCAACTTCCTTCTCTGGAAAGGAAATTGAGTTGAACACCCCTAATTCTGTCCATACCTGGAGCTGGCCCTTCATTCAGTCTCCTTTTGTAAAATACTTCCCCTATTTCTGCTTCCATAGTAGTTACAGTGGTGCCTCGCAAGACGAAATTAATCCGTTCCACGAGTCTCTTCGTCTAGCGAGTTTTTCGTCTTGCGAGGCATTCGTCTTGCGGGGCACCACTGTACTTCAAAAGTTTTCTTGCCATTAGCTACTGAGCTGAAAGCCGAACACATACACACAGCGAGAGAGAAGAATTGCCATTATATTTTTTTCATTCTACCATCACATTTTGTGTACACTTAATCACAAAGAAACCAGTTTCAGATGTTATCAACCATTTGTGAGAGTCACATTTTATAGCTGTCAAGTAGGGAATTCTCCCTCATGAATTATTTCCAACTGAATAAAAGTCTCACCTGCATTGTAATCCTGTGCAATTACTGGGAAATCTCATTGATTTCAATGACATTGATTGATTCTGCACAGGACTGCAGAACTACAGTGTGATTTCATCTTTCAGTGCTGTTGCCTGGATGAGGACAGGATTTTTACAGGAGAAAACAGCAGTCATTCTTTCCATTGCTACTGCTGACCAAACAGCCATGGCCCTTTCTGCCGTGGCGCTGGGTAAGAGCATGACCACACAGAGCAGCACAAAGAGAAAGAACAGACAAGAGTTCCAACGCAGGTCAGCATACGTTACTGGAAAGTATTATCTCTATATATTACTAACAAACAGAGCTCTGAATATTGGCATTGAGGAATACCACCCAAGAAGTAGGGAGGTAAGGGAAGAGCACTTGGGTGGCAGCATTATCTCAGTTACTTGCTCACTGTCGCCTACAGAGCCTAAGCCTGTTGAAGTTGTTTACTAACTTTTACTCCTTACTGCCCCAGTGTCTCATCTTTTCCCAGGCAGCCTTCCAACAAGGACAAGAGCAAGGATGTTTTCCACTCCCAGTGCAATTCAGAAGACAGTAAACTGACAACTAGACTAACAACAGCAATGGCCAGTGTGACTCCAGCACTTCCTTTGTGGTAATGCCACCTTAATGCTGTAGGCTCCTGTAACTTTGCGAACAGTTTAACAAACACATAAGTATCCTAGCATGAGAATGCCAGGATGCAGAGTGCAGGCAGTATTCCTCTGCTACCACATAGTTTTCACAGGCACAAGAGCCCTGGTGCAACATAAGAGTTTGGCAACCCTACTTTTCTATTTTTAGTTCTGGTTTTCAAAACAACATCATTGAGGCTATTCAATAAGAACATTTGCTTGTTTTACAATTCAGAAGTTGAGAGAGTGCTGCTGCAATCAGGTCCTTCTTACAGGCTTCCCTTTGGCACCTGGTTGGCCATGGTGACAGCAGGATGCTGGAGTGATGGGTGATTCGCCTGATCCAGCAGGCTGTTCATATGCTTATGTTATGATGATCCCATACATGGCACTGGGAGAGGAAAGAAGGCATATCCTGGATAAGACCACTGGGAGACTGTAAAAGCCCCATCATGTGCTTTTCTGTCTATCTCCATGACCATGCAGTCAAGTGTATTGCTCTGTTGAACAAGAGGACTGGGTTTTATTCTTCATCTCACCAACTCTTTCTGAAATGGTTACTTTTGCCCCATGCAGGGCTTCACTTCCTATATGTTGCTGGTGGGATTCATTCCCTGCCTGCCATTTTTCTTTGTGTCCTTCACAGAACTACAGTGGTACCTCGGGTTACATACGCTTCAGGTTACATTCGCTTCAGGTTACGGACTCCACTAACCCAGAAATAGTACCTCGGGTTAAGAACTTTGCTTCAGGATGAGAACAGAAATCGTGCGGTGGCGGCGCAGCAGCAGCAGGAGGCCCCATTAGCTAAAGTGGTGCTTCAGGTTAAGAACAGTTTCAGGTTAAGAACAGACCTCCAGAACGAATTAAGTTCTTAACCCGAGGTACCCCTGTATGAGGTATCTCAGTCTTACTTCCTGTAAGCTTGCATGCCTCCTTCCTGCGGGGTTGTGGAACTGGATTACTTATGACTGGAACAACATTCCTTCAGACCCTGTTCAACCAAGAAAAAAAAGGGCTTTTCTGCCAGTCAGGGGATCCAAGTCTGAGGAAGGAGTCCTGGAGCTTGTTGCCTCTAGCCTAAACCAGTGAGCTGTGGTATAAGATGAATTGGAGGATGCACTGTGAACTCTTTCTTGATGCATACTTGTGGAATGATTTCTTGCCATCAGTGATTGGTACCTTCCATACGTGGGTTATTTAATACATTGGTTTCCACTTCTCAACCCCCACCTCCAAAAGAAAGCATTCTGTTGAGAAACAATCTGTGTCTAGGACAATGTACTGTACATTTTTACCTGTTTTATGGCTTTGCTTGCCTGGAGGATATTAGGTCATAAATGTATAGGGGACCAAAGGTTCAGGATAAGGCTTTTCTTTCTGCTTATTTTATTTCACAACAAATCTAGTTGTTCACTTTCATCAGCCATTCAAAAAGACCCTAGTCTACAGTATGTCCCCAACCCACCACAAGTAAGACCATCAAGTCCAGAAATTAAAATTACCCAGCTGTACCACTTATTTTCCATATAGGGTTAGGGAATGACAGCTTTTCCTAATTGATTAAGGCTCTTGTATACAGTATGTGGTGTCAAGCATTAGCACATTATATGTTTCGATAGATAGCCTATATGGGAAGAGATATAAAAGAGTGTGTGAACGGATATTGATAGGATAATCTGCTTACTCATCGAGTGTATTACGAATGTGTCAAGAATGTTTCTGCAGGAAAAACTCAGACTTCAGCTAGTTTCATAGAGAGCAGGCACCCTGTATATGTAGCTGATTTAAGCATAAAGCTCTGATAATGAGAATGGTACTTAATTACTACGCATGTGCAAAGCTAAGGCAAGAGAATGCCGCTATATAAGATCTGTATAATTTCAGAGGCATACACAGGCTCCTTTGTGCCCATTACACCCTTGGCAAGGAGCCTTAGAGTATCTCTTTCCCCATTTTTTTCTGGTTTGGCAAATGTTTGTTTGCTGTGACATATCAGGAATGTAGAATAAGTTATAAAGCATGGAATCATGAGGCAGGAGTGGGGGAGGGGAGGAGAGGAGAGGAAAGGAGAGGTTAATTCTGTGCTTCACTTCATTTGAAACAATACACACAGCCATGGCAGTGGTGGTGAGGGCACTAAGACCATTAAGTCCAGGTTCTAAAATCACTTAGCTGCACCACTGGCACATTCAACAGAAATATTCACTTCTAAATAAAAATAAAGGAGCATCAAATGGTTCCTCTGGTCCATGAAAGCTTCTGCCCCTGCTCCCTTTTCCAGATACCCTTCTTCTGTTTCTTTGCTTTTTGTTTTTGCACGCATCTTTTCGTTGCTGGATTTTCCTTTCTCATTCATTCCTCTATCCTCTTCTCTTCTCCCCCACACCCCACTCTTTATTTCCTTCTTTTTATTTATCCCCCTCTTTCTTCTCCTCCTCTGTCCCCTTCTATTTTAGTAAAATTTGTCACTCCTCTACCTCACCTGCTGTAGTGCTGCCACCTCCAGTGGCACCACCCTGCCTGCTCACCCCCCCCCCAGGCCCTGCAGCAGCTGCCCCCTCCTCCTCAACGCCAGTGGAGCTGGAGGCGCAGTTCTCTCCTTGACCCTCGGTACACCCCTGTGAAGGCCTGTAAACTCCACGTTTGTGGGTTCCCAGCAGCTGCTGTTATGACTAAGTAAAGTTGCCTTAAACATCACAATGGTGTGGTTATTGAAGAAATCCACCACACTACTGAGCTTCTTTGAGAATGAGATAACATATAATCAATTCAGAAATACTGAGTCAGGAATAATTTCTAACCAAGTTAGGGTTACATGAATTCAGCATCTAGCAAAACAGTTTTGTCACTATAAAGTTTCAAAATAGCTTTGATTGATTGATTGATCTTTATTACGGCCATTGGCCCGTCACACGACAGTTTCCCATACCAACATAATGTACATGAACCTCCAAATTTAAAACCGTCAAAACTTACA